ATCTTTATTTTTAAAAAATACCTTCAATTTCGAAAGTACTCACCCGAAACAATGTTTAAGGTTTTAGAATAGTTTTTTATTTGAGTTTATCTTGTTTTTTTTAACAAGAAATACAATGTCAAATTCTACTTTTTTTCATTTAGTCCACCGTATTGTCTCCGCCATTTAAAAATTCAAAAAATCCCGCGCGGCATTTAAAAGATGACTTTCGTAGCTTTAATTTGATCTAGGTATATTAAATGCTTTTTTGATGAAACCAAAAATAGAGAGGTGGGGTGGCTCCGTTCCCAAAACATACATTTCAGAAAAACTAATATCGAGTCAAGTTATTTGAAGAAATATTTTGACTATACACATAATTTTTTCTTATACATAAGTGTAATAACTAAATCATCCAAAATTGATTAAAGTTAAATTTTCTAATACTTTTATTTGAATTAAATAACCAGTTTTTTTGGTTTGAGGTTATGTTACGGTCAATATCAGTTTTTCATTTTTTTCAAACAACATCCATGATGATTATTATCAAATAATTTTTGAAAATATTTTCAAATTTCTGTTGTAAATTAAGAATCATCTAAATTTAAAATCTATTAATACAAAATTTTATTTTTATTATTTATTAATTATTTATTTTATTATTATATTTTTATATTAATTAAACACTTAATATAATAAATTTACTTAATTTTGCAATTACATACATATTTAAATTATAAGTAATTACGATATAATTACATAATCTTGAGAATTGTTTTTCTAATTTTTTTTAAATTTTTGCGTTAAAAATCGATAATTAGTTGGCTTTTTGTAAATCATTTTTGTTGACAAGATAAAATGGTTTATGTATATTATGTATATAGTACATTTGAAAAAAATAATGTGAAACAAATAAAATTTACATTTAAAAATTTGTCAATATATTTTCAACTTTAAAAAATTATTTCTTTTACTTTATATACTTATATTAGTAAAAATAAATTTATAACAGAAAATTGAGATTTAGTTTAAATAAATTATAATAATTAAAAAATTAAACAAAATTTTCTTTTGTAAAAATAGATATATTTTCAATAAAATGAACCGCATGTTATGCAAGTTTTAGAAATTGCAGTTCTTATCTGCTGTTTGTCAGCTGATTATATATATAGAATACCAGGTGCGCAAAAATGAGGTTAAGATTTTATTGAGAAATTTTCTATAAAAATAAATTGATAATAAAAAATTAATTTAATTTAAATTAATTGGCCATAGAAATTGGAAAAAAATCATCAAGTTATATTAATGATAAAATAGTTTTTTTTAAAAAAAGAAAATTTATACTTTTTCTTTTACTGATCTTTAATAATCTTTTTATAAAATCAAAATATTAAATAAAAAATTTTACGTTTAAAAAGTATTTGAATTTATTAGACATAAAAAATCAAATAAAGGAAAAAAAACATATATATAAATAAAAATAATATAAAATATTAATTAATTTTTTAATTAAATTCCTATATAAATTATTAATCTATAATTTTCAGTAATAGTTATTTAAACAGTTATATGTTTATTTAAATTATTAACAGTGTGATTATTTATTATTAATTAGTCATGGAACATGTAAACAGATTAGAAGAGCTATACTATGTGACTATATGGCGATGACATCAGGTCTTTGTACCAAAGAAATATGTTTTGAGATAAAGCAAAATTGAAAATACTTTTTTATCTGCGATAAAAAAAAAGAAATGTTTTCTTCAATTAAAACTAGAATTACATTTAACATTATTTTGTAAATTTTTAAAAATTATTTATTTTTCATTTATTTAATTATAAAAATAATTATTTATTTACGTACACCCAGAGAAATCTTTTTCACATTGTTCTTATTTAAGACAAAGATAATTTATTCTAATCAATTAAAAATATTTTAAAAGAATTAATTACTATCGAATTTGTAAAATCTAACTAATCCTAAAGCAAAAAGCAAGCAACTAATTTAAACAAGTTAAAACTTTTTATTAATTCTTATAATTGTGCTCCCTTCATGTTTCTGCCATCTGACGGCGACAGAACGAAATGAACCAGTCACTATATTACATTCCCACTTTTCACTTTTGCAATCGCGTTTTTTTTCAATCAACTAAAAATATATTTACCTCAGAGTGTAATAACATTTTATTTTCTTTAAATAAAAAGAAAAATTATTTAGCACAAATGAATTGCAAATGACCGAATCGACAAAAAGATTTTGGCGGGATTTTCAAAATTTGACTAATCAGAAATTATCAATAAAATTGGGATTATTTTAAAACTTCCCGACAAAACTTGTTGGATATTTGTTCGGCCATTTGCAATATCGGTCAAATAAAAATTCAAATTCGAATCATTTAAAATTCCGTTGAATGAGAATTATTTTTGAATTAAAATTCAGTTGAATTAGAATTCTTTTAAATAAAACGTTGTGAAGAGAAAAATTCTGTAAAATAAGATTTTCTTTCAAATGAAAATTCGGTACGTAAAAATTCTGTAAAGTTAAAATTTGTTTTACAAAAATTCTGTTAAATATGTTAATTAGAAAAATAAAAATTCGTCTAAACAACAAATTATATCAAAATAGAATTCTTAAAAATTAAAATTCTAATTAATAATTTTTTTTCATTGAGTGTTTATATAAAGAATTTCATAATCCATTTAATTAAACGTGAAAAAAAATTTCAATTATAAATTTTATTATTTTCCAATTAAATATGATTGTGATTCTTAAAATTTGCGTATCGGTCATCTAAAACATTGAAAAATTGTCTTTGTTTCTTGTATATATTTTATATATACATATGCGAATGACGCTCCATGTGACAAGCCTGTCATTTTTTAGCACGTGACATAAACGTGCTCAGAACATGCTTTCGATCTGCACATTAAACGTTTGTGTGACTGTATTTATATTTGTAAGACTATCCCTGTACGGGTTCTTAATGAGATTCAATGTCTTGGTAAACGTAAATTATGTTCGGTAACAATTGAATTCAAAGACAAATAATAATCCATTCATAGAAGGGGGTCAAATTGTGGCAATTGGCATGATAAAATAAAAAAAAATCCTCCACAAGTGAGAAATATAAATTCGTATAGGATGAAAACAAAATTTTCTAAAAATAATATTGTTTGAAAAATATATTATTTTATTTATTAACTTTTAAATAATGGAAAAATAGGTAATTTTGTTTTTTTCAAAATTGTAATAATAATAACAATAATATTAATAATAATAATTATTATTATTATTGTAGGTATGTAAATCAATTCTTTTAATTTTGCAAAAATTTATAAAAACACAAAAAAAACTCTTTTAAAATGAAAGAAAAATATTTTTTAAAAAATAATATTTCTTATAATGAAAAGTTTCTTTTAATCAAACAAAAATTTATGTCAAAAAAGGAACAAAAAAAAGTAATTTGTTTATTAAATGTTCTTTTTTTATGTCTGTGTAAATTAATTTATTTCAGAAATGTCATTGTCATTAATTAATGTTGCGTCTTTCAGTAGATATAGACGATTATAGTCGGACGGAAGCTGGAAGCAAATCAATGACTCATGTAAAATAGTTAGATTATTTTGCTTTCATTTTAAATTAGTGAATACATAACTTTAAAATTGACTATATATAAATTAGTTTTTATTATAAAAAAAAATATATAAAAAAAATTAGTTAAAAATTAATTAGACTGGTTTTTGTATCTTTTAGTACGCTACTAAAAAGAGTCCCATTATTTTTATTTAAATTTTTTGATCTGTTTACAAGATTTATAGATGCTTTAAAATTTCAAAAATTGCAAAATGAAAAATAGGAAAATAGTATAATGACAGGTTCATTTCGTCTTGTCGCCGTCAGATGGCAAAATCATGAAAAGAGCACAAAATCGCAGCTTATATTACTTTCCTACTTTTCGTTTTCTTAATCGAGTTTCTGTATGGATTTGAATTTTGAATTAGTAACTCACTTTTTGCATTTGAATTAGTTAAATTTTACTAATTCGATGGTAACAATTTTTTTTACTATTAATTAATTAAATTTTACTAATTCAAAACCAAAACGTGAGTCAGTTATTTAAATTAGTTAAAAATTTTACTAATTCACATTTAGAGTGTAATATTTATTAGTTATGTTTATTTTTTCAATTTATTGAAATATATGTACAAACAATATAACGACCACGTGCTTCGTATATTATATCTGCCAAACACATGTGTAATACGAGTTTATAATATACACGCACTATATAGAATTTCTCTTAAACAACTTAAACGACTTAATCAATTTCTTTTTATGAATTACCCACATATTAATAAAGTTCACGGACACTTGTAACTATGTAATATGTTATGTGTTATCGCTTTTGAATTTTTTTTTAGAAATTTTTATTTATATCATTTCTTCTAATATTTTGTGTACAGAGTAAATTGATTTTTCTGATTTATTTAGAATAAATAAAAAAGAAAATAATAATTTTTAGGAGGAATAATTGTGTACGTTGTTAAAATATTCAGAATTTCTTGCAATTTTGGAAAATTAATTTCGAGATCTTTTGATAAAATTTTTTACAAACAAAAACATTTTTTTCGAACAAAGAAAAAATTTTGAAAATCCAACATAAACTTATAAAAGCAAACGAAAATAAAATTATATAACAATGAATACCATTTCGGTTAATAAAAATACAGAAAAATTGTCTACCGAAATGTCAAATTAAAAAAAAAAAAAGAAAAAATTGGTTGGTTGATTTGTTTTTAGAAACATTATAATAAATTACAGAAGGTTATAGATTAAAGTGCCAAGAAACATTAATTTTTCGTCTGTGGTTATTGCACATAAAGTCCTTGATAAACTGCCAACGTTTTTGTTCACAACTTATATATATATATATATGTTAATTATAAAAAGTCGTACACGTCCAACATGTCGATTATTGTAACCCTCTTTCTTTAACTGTGTCACAGAGAGCAAACAAAAATTATATTTTGATTATTTATTACTGATTACATTTATTGAATTAGAAAAAATAATGTTGAGTCAAAATATTACGTTAAGGCCATGTGGACAAAGGACGTTTTTTTTGTGGTTTCCAACTTTCTCTGAAATAAATAATGATTTCGAGTTAAAATATTCAAGACTTGATAAAGGAGGGTGCAAAGCATAGGACTGTTCTTCACTTAACATAAAAATAATAAAAATAAAGCAATAAATAGTAAAATAATGTATTTAGTTCCCAGTAAAAAAAAAATAATTGAGAGTAAGGAAAAATAATTGGGAGTTAGCTTACTTTGTATTCGGTTTGGCGTCTAAACCGTGTAGGGACGTTACGGCCAATTATTTTTTCTTACCCTGAATTCTTTTCACCTGGATTGTTTGAATTGATGTTTGTTGATCAACGTTTGCAATACAAATGAATAGAATGCATGTTCCAAAGTGTCAAAATGCCGATTTGGAATAAGAAATGTGAAATTTTATGAAAACGACAAAATGTGAAATATGCCAGATTTATCGACAATTTTACCATGTGAGTAGTGTTCATATGATAAATTTACCATACGAGCACTACTCACATGATAAAATTGTCGATAAATCAGTCATATTTCACATTTTGTCTTTTTCATAAAATTTTACATTTCTTATTCCAAATCGGCATTTTGATACTTCGGAACATGCATTCTATTCATTTGTAATGCAAACGTTGATCAACAAACATCAATTCAAACAATCCAGGTGAAAAGAATTCAGGGTAAGAAAAAATAATTGGCCGTAACGTCCCTACACGGTTTAGACGCCAAACCGAATACAAAGTAAGCTAACTCCCAATTATTTTTCCTTACTCTCAATTATTTTTTTTTACTGGGTTGTAGTTCATTCAGGGCATCCGGGAGAAAATAATGGTTTTGTAGATTTCTTCTCATTTGAAAAAAATAGAATATTTTAGGTTGTAATTTTTTGGAAATAATAGAGGAAGGTACCCTGCCAGGGGCTCTTCTCGGAATTTTGCATAATCTTGATAAATAATTATTGAAAAAAATGTTTAAACATTGGCAAAAAGGGGTTTCGTTAATTACTTCTCATCTTTAAAGGATAAAGTATTTCGAGTTGGCATTTGGAGGAATAATAGAGGAAGGGTCACTGAGTGGGGCTCTTCTCCATTTTTGGAATAATATTGTGAGGAAATTATTTTATTAAAGATTTAAAGTGGAGTAATTTGTGGTAAGTTAGTTCAGCAGCGGCCACTAGCTAGAATTGGCGCCACCTTCTGGGCCACTGACACATAGATTCAATGTCTGTGTGCTTGCCTCCCCTACTGTCCCCACTTCTGTCAAAAATCCAACTTTTATAATCACGATTTTCAATACTTTTCAACAAAGTTACTTGTAAAAATGAAGATGATTCTTAATCAGCTCGCCCTCATCTAATTAATCCGACAAATCCGAACAAGATATTTCAAGTTATTTACGAGTAATATCTCGCGCGGGAAAACACTTTTAGGTTAGGGATTTTTCCCGGATGGCCTTCAGTCAGATTTTAAAAATTCAAAATGTCGGATCCAATATGGCGGTCGAATTTTTATAAAATTAGGGATTTTTTTAAAATATTGGATCCGACATTTTGAATTTTAAAAATCTGACTTCAGATTCATAATCAGCGACCTCAAAAACTCATAGTTATCATGTTTCATATAAATCCATCGATTTTTAAAAAAAATTTCACACCACCAAAAATTTGACAATTTTTAAATAATTTAACGCAAAATTAATTTTTTTCAGGAGAACAGCGCGGTACATTGTACCCAAATCATATCAACCCTCAAAATTTTAGCCTAAAATCTTTTTTCATTTTAGAGAAAGTTGGAATATTGCAAAACACATTTCCCCATATTAGGTCACGTGGGTTTCTCCCACATGCCGTTAAGGAGCCATCCATAAACTACGTTACCAATTTTTCATTTTTTTAGACTCCCTCCCTTGTTACCATTGCGTTAAAATGTCGGTGAAGTTTACAACGTTTATGATCAATAATTGAGAAAAAAAAATTCTATACAAATTATTATTATTTTTTATCTAAAAATGTTTTTGCAACATTTCTTGATCAATAATTTTTTGAAAAAAAATTTATAAACAAAAAATTAGTTATTTTTTAAGTGAAAAATATATTTTTTTTAATCGTTGATCATAAACGTTGTGAACTTCACCGATGTTGCGTTAAATGCAGTTTCATAGAATTTTTGACCCCCTCCCCCCCTAAAATAGGTAACGTAGTTTATGGACGGCCTCTCAGGGTTAGGGTACGGTCACACTATCTCATGCATGCGCTGTGCATGCATGCAGAAACATTTGGCCGGTCACACTTCATGAACCAAAAATTTTGAACGTTCAAATGAACAAATTTTTTTTTGAAACTTCTTTAAGTACGAATTTTATTACAAAATATTGTTTTAAATATCTAGAAAGAAGTTATTAATTTAATATTTGTTTAATTTACTGTTTTATTTTACATTGACATTATAATTTTTAATAATGTAGATTAAAAAAAAATATTTTGTTCATTTGAACGTTCAGAACTTTTGGCTCATCACACTTCAACGAAATCTAGTGAATGTTTAGTAACTTTCTAGTAATTTTCCAAAAATTTCGGTTGTAACTAGAAAGTTACTAAACATTTACTAGATTTTGTTGAAGTGTGACCGGCCAAATGTTTCTGCATGCATGCACAGTGCATGCATGAGATAGTGTGACCGTACCCTTATAGTTTAGAATGTGAGCATGTAAAGGTGCCGTCTCACCGAAAACTGAGCGAGCGGTCCGCTTTTCCGTCACGCTTACCATATTCAACTATATCTATATATATAAAAAACGTAACGCAAATGCGGACCGCTCGCGCAGTTTTAGGTGAGTGTAGAATCAGCATCATGACTGCGTAAAACGCCGGCGTAAAAGCAGAAAGCATGAGAATGAAAGAGATAGTCAGATATGTTTATCTTCTTCGTTCTCATGCTTTCCGCTTTTACGCCGGCGTTTTACGCTGTCATGGAACGGTGCTTTAAATTTCCACAGGAATTCCAGTAGAACGTCCGAAATATGCCATATCTTTATATTTTTGACACCTGCTTCACCCTGCTTTCCTCAATTCTAGTTCCGCGTCATGTGTCGAAAAAAGCTACCATTCCCTGCAAAGTGTCACAATTCAAATGTTCCACTGATTATTTTATATTTATTGTCAATAAAATTTTGGCATGATTCTTAACCTAAAAAATTATTTTTCCTGTGTATTGTTCGGAGATGATTTTAAGTTAAAGTTTATTCTGTGTGTATTAAATTTACTGTATTTTTATCCAAAGTGCAAAAAAAAAATGTACTATAGATCAACCAAAGAATTATATATTATTTTTATATTATATAGTATTAATTATTAATTGTAAGTTTAATTAAACATATTATGATTCAACACGGAAAAAAATAGTTCGTGAAACCTTCGTAAACTATGTAGTTGTTCACTTTTGGATGGGCCCAAAGTTTGGAAATCTTTCATTAACTTTTTTCAAGATTCCACAAACTTTTTTTTGTGCGCGTGCGCAGGCATTGATAAGGTTATTCAAGTTGGGTGGGGGAAAGCCAAGATGGTTGCTTGCTGGTGCACCTATCAGCCTATCAGCATTCATTCCCAAGAGAAATTTCTCGTGGGAATGAATGCTGATAGGCTGATAGGTGCACCAGCAAGCAACCATCTTGGCTTTCCCCCACCCAACTTGAATAACCTTATTGTCATGAAGAGAGTGATGAACCTATGTGAAATCTTGGAAAAAGTTAATGAAATATTTCCAAACTTTGGGACAGTCCAAAAGTGAACAACTAGTTTACGAAGGTTTCACGAACTATTTTTTTCCGTGAACTAAAAATATCGTTTTCTCAGTACTTTTTAATCTGAAATTTTTTTTTAACTTTTCTTTTTTCAATATTAAGTTTTATTTTTTACTTTTCATCCTATCTCGGGAATTTTTTCGTTTTTTTTTTTTTTTTATTTTCATTTGAAAGCTAAGATTTTTTTTCCAAAAAGTTGAATGAAAGTTGGTTAAAAAAAAAATAATAATAATAATCTTGAAATAAATACAATATAGGTAATTAATTATTTATATGAGGTATATTTTTATTTACTCTAAATTTAGTAACGCGATTGAAATTTTTCAAGAGTCATGAAAGATATAAATAAATGAGAAAAATAACTCCTATAATAATATTTCCTCTATTTAACAACATTATTAAAGTATATGCTAATCGACTGACTAAAGAAGTTGTGATCTATTAATAATTTATAATATGGGTCCAAACAAAACATCTTCGTTAGTCCCGCGCGTTCCAAGAAATGATAATTTATATATATTTATATTTCCCACAAATTGTTTTTATTCGAAATTCTAGCAAATTGATTCTTTAAATGTTCCATATAACTATATACAAATTAGTTAACACGTTCTAATCTAGTGAACAGTGAGACTTTTTTTTATTCTTGTTTTTCTTTTGACGGCAATAGCTTGCTGGAAGTTTGTTTAGATTTTTTTTTTCTTTTTTTTTTGCGAAGTTCTGCACATTTCATTATTTCATATTCAATGTCAAGGTGCTTTGCCATGACCCTGCGAATATAATTCAGTTGTTTATGAAACAAAGTGTTAAAAACTTACATCCTATCTTTAATATATGATTTCTTTACGATAAGATAATTGATATAATGATTGAATTTTGATTATTTAAAAAATATATATATTATTATTATTATTTGGGTGAGAATACAATTTTTTTTTCGAAATCCTATTAATCAATATAAAGACAAAAAAATGGTTGTTCTCTCTTATGGAATATAAAATTGAAAAATATATTTTGTTAAAAAAATCCATTAAACAAATTATTTTTAATTAATTATTTAAATTATTATTATTAAATAATAAAAATACAAAAAGTCAAAATTATATCCTAAATTATATTTTTTAGGGTTACGTACCCGAAGGGGAAACCCTATTAATGAGACTAGTGAAGCAAGGCATGTACCCCCCCCCCCCCTAGTGGCCACACGAATTTATCTAGAGGGCTGAAATTTGGTATACATATGTATTTTGGCGTGTAGATTGCAGGAAAAATATAGCGAATCTCATAGCAATTAATTATCATAGCGTTGTCAAGGAAAAACCATGAATTTTTACGAAAAATGTATAAAAATTACTATGTACCCCCCTGGTGGCCACATCTTTTTACATAGAAAGCTCAAATTTGGTACACTTATGTATTTTTACGTGAAAATTACAGGAAAAATATAGCGAACATGATTCGGATCAATTTACATAGCGTTGTCAAGGAAAAATCAAAAATTTTGAAAAAAAGCGATTAATCCTCCTAGCGCACACAATATTTGACGAAGGCAGTTCATATTTGGTATA